CCATGGACAATTGAATATGAAATGAAGGTGACTATTGAATGAACTTTTTAGTGTCTGGCTCTGCTTAGGTTGAATTGAATGATACCGGCGACACATCTAGTTGCTATCCACTGTTACATAAGGCAGGTCTCTGAGTCTCTGCGTTCCTAACGAGCCGAATGCATTTCATTCTCTCAGCAGAAAGTAAGAGGGGTTACTGCACACTTTGCCGTATTAGTAGGTTAGCCCCATGGTGCCACTGACTACACAAATTAGCATTTTGGTCACTGCATGTGAGTTCAGATATGTACCACAAACACTGAGACTCTGCTTAATTTATTTCACTGGCACCCCTCATAATGTCTTCATTCTGCGTCAATCTGCTGTATCATCTGTATTTGAGCTACCACAACAAAATCAGACGGTGGTTGCTAGACGACAAGAGTATCTATTGACCACTTGGTACAATGGTGGCAACATGCAACCAAATACAAACAGCATGAGAGCCATGCTGTCACACAAGATGTGATCGAGCAGACAGTCAGGATGCTTTTACTACATGGTCTGTACCTGAGGACCTGTGCAATAGCTCCCTGAGAGTATAATCATTGTGGCCTGTTGTCTTTTGCATGAGCTCACCATTTGAAGGTTTAGCTCTTACTATGGATACTTTTTTACCATCTGGTGGCACAATGGTTAGCACTGTTGCCTCACAGCGCTGGGGCCTGGGTTCAGTTCCAGCCTTGGATGTTTGTGGATGTACTGCCAATCGAGTAGGTTGCTTTGTTCTGGATGGTTTCAAGCTTCTCAAACAATGTTGTAGCTGTACTCATACAGGCAAGTGGAGAGTATTATTTCACACTCCTGACTTTTGACTTAAAAATGGTGGACAGGCTTTGGGGAGTCAGGAGGTGAGTTATTCACTGCCAGAATGCTAACCTCTGATCTGCTTTTGTAGTCACAGTATTTACGTGACTAGTCCAATTCAGTTTCTGGTCACCCCCTGGATGTTGATAGTGGGGGTGCAATTGAACATCAGTGGGTGTTGGTTAGATTCTCTCTTGGTGAATAGGGTCATTGCCTGGCAGTTGTGAATGTTGCTTGCTGTTTGTCAGCCCAATCCTGGATATTGTCCAGGTTTTGTTGTGTTTAGACATGGACTGAGTATTTCACTATCTGAGAGGTTGTGAACGGTGTTGAACAACATTTCCTTTAAGTTGCATGATGTTCCATGCATGACAATTGGCATTGGCATGCTGATTGTAGCATTGACTTCCGGTTCTGGAAGTTATTGCCGGGGATGGAGCTCAGAGGCTGATGCAGCCAGAGCATGAAAATTAGAGGGAATATTGATGGCTGAACATTGTGGAGTCATTGGTGAACATCCCCACTTCTGACCTTATGATGGATGTTATGTCAATGATGAAGCAGCTGAAGATGGTTGGGCCTAGGCTACTTTGATGAAGAACTGCTGCAAGATGTGCTGGAGATGGCTGACTTCTAACAATCACAACCATCTTTCTGTGTGCCAGGTATGACTCCACCCACCAGAGAGTTTGTTCTACTGATTCCAACTGACTGTAGTCTTGCTAGGGTTCCTTGATGCCACACTCAGTCGAATGCAGTCTTGATGTCAGGGGCTGTCGCTCTCACCTCACCTCTAGAATTCAGCCCTTTTGTCCATATTTGAACCAAGGCTGTAATCAGGTCAGGAGCTGATTGGCCCTGGCAGAACCTGAACTGGGCGTCACTGAGCAGGTTATTACTATGCTACTTCATAACACTGTTCATCACTTCACTGGTGCTCATGAGTAGACTGAAGCAGTAATTGACTGTGTTGAATTTGTCCTGTTTTCTGTGTACAGAACATACTTAGGCAATTTTCCACACTGTTGGATAAGTCTTGAGTTTCCAGATCTGTTTCAAGTCTACTCCATTCAGCAAGGTGATAGTCCCACATGACACAATGGCATGTATCCTCAATGTGAAGATGAGACATCATCTCTGTGTTTCTGGTACCTAGCTCGACACAAAGTGGTCCATACAGTTTCATTCCTTTTCTGAGACTCTTTAGTCATTGATACAACTGAATGGCATGTTTAGTCATTTCAGAGAGCAGATGAGAGTTAACAATATTGCTATGGTCTGGAGTTACACGTAGGCAAGATCAAATAAGGTTAAGAGATTTCCTACCCTAATGGCATTAGGGAGCCAATGAGTTTTTTACAATAATCAATCATTGTTACATGGTCATCATTAAACTGATAATTCCAATTATTGTTTTAATGAACTGAAATGGGATTCCAACCCCAATCCTAGAACATTACCCAGGTTTCTGGATTACCGGTCTGGTGGCAATACCACTGTACCATTGCTTCTCTCCTCACTGTAAAAAAAATCACCAAACTCTTCCAGAAACAACTTGTAGAAATTAAGCAGCAACTAACCTAAACTAAAAGTAGTTATCATCCTCTCAAATCTGTTGGTTTGCCCTTTCTACTGCTTAATGCATATTCAATCATGTGAGGTTAAGAGATTATCTTAGTTGGTGCATTTGGAGAGGGGTTCTTGTGGTGCAGTGGTAGAATCGCCATCTCTGAGCTTGGAGGTCCTGGGTCAAGTCCCATCACCTCCAGAAGTATGTAATAACATTTCTGAACAGGTTGATTAGAAAATGTCTAGTTGCTGCATTTGGGTGGAAAATGGCTCTGCTGCCTTCAAATCCATATTTCGTGCAGATTGATACAACAAGCTTCCCCATTGGCACAGCTCAGTGCCCACAAAAGTACCTTTATCAAAATGCAATTCAACACCATCAGCATTAAAAGTATGCGCATGAGCATTGCCATTTTAGACTCAAAATAACACCCATACTGGTATAAATATAGATACCAACCTGTGGCCTATAAATCATTCAGGGTAAACAAGCTACCTTTCCACCATCCTATGGCCCCACCCACTGCCAACCGCTCTCAGGGGACAGACTTGTGAACTTCTGAATGTCTCTGTTTTTAGCTCCTCGCTTCTTCATTCCCTTCAATTGCTGCTGAACTCCTATTTTAAAGTTCCCTTTGGTTTTCAAAGATGATTAAGCCTGCAACTGCTTTCTTTATTCAGAGTACTTTGCCAAACTGTGATACCTTTGTGTGACAAATCCTCCTTTGCGGTGTGATTCATGCAATCACATTGTAAACTTATGGATTAGTGGAAAATTAACATTTTCTAAGCAGTTTCCTTGATGATTATAGAATATCCAATCCTTGTATTCCTGGAATTTTCTGTTCCAGTGGTGATAGGAATTTGTCAAAAACAATTTGTAGGAGGTATGTATGTTGTGAAAGCTGCACTCGATAAGTAATGAGGGTAAACAAATAAACAAAACTGTGTTCTTAAACTATCACTTTCCAATTGGGTCGAATCTGACAGGGTTCATTCTACTTGACATATATTAAAATGGATTTAAAATCAGCAAGAAGTTGGCTTATTTTTGTAGTCAAACAATCAGTTAAAATGAATTAAGTTTTCCCTACTCCCCTCTAAAATAATTCACTCTTGTTCAGGTAACGTTCCACTTTTAACAGTGGCCCTATGTTTCCTTATTCAAGTAGCCATCCATTATGAACGAGTTTGAACGTGAATGATGAATAGGTTAGTCAACTGCTGAAGGCATCACATCCAAATCCAATCCTGTATGTACCTGACACATAACTATTGGCACTTTCCAATTGAATCAGTGAACAATTCATCAGCAGAAGGTTCATAGCTGATTTGTCCTGTTTCATCTTCGACCAGGGTGGTGAATTGCACTATTCAAATTACTTTGTATGCTGATCAGCTAATATACTATTTACCATAGGTCTATAGGTCTGACTGGTTCAGTATTGCATTGTTTGCTTATGCATGAAGCTATCAGTAAGTTTTAACAATTTGCCCGTCAGGGATTGAGCCTGGGATGTTCTAATACACATGACTCAGTATCATAATGGCGTGTTACCTATTGCTCACTCAGCCATATAAGCTGTAGAAAATTGTTTTCCTTCTTAATATTTATACCATAATTTATACTATAGTTTCCCACCTTTTCTTTCCCACCATTTACCCGAACATATTTTAAGTTTATTCAATGGGAAACAAGATCAAGAGTATTTCTGCCACAAATATTAAAGAAGACTATATTGCAAACACCTAATTTTCCATTTCAGCTACACGTTCAAGGAAATGCAGCTGGTCTTATGTTAAATTGAATTCATAGCTGTTTTTGATAGCTGCTTGACTAAAGGTCACCCTTTTCCTAGAGTGTACCCTTTAAAAACACGAACAGGCCCTGTCTTAACAATATCCAATCGAGCACGTAAGGCTAAAATTTATCTGCCAATGCTCACAGTAATCAACATAATTTGCAACATATTTCATTGGGTCCACTCCACTTGTTTGCATGTACTGAAATTTTTTCCAGAATTAGTGACAGTGCGTATGTCTGCATGTGTTTGTATTCCTTCTGTCAGAGTCAGTAATAGTTGGCAGAGGGGGTGGAATTTCAACAATGAAAAAATACTTGTCGTTGCAAAATGATAAGCTGTATTACAGAGACTATTATTTAACATTTCAGGAGCTCCAAAACTCTTCTATCAATGTTAATAAATGATTCTGGACCTATTATACTGTGGTTAAATTCAACTGTGATCTTTGCAGATCCCGGCGTTGCTACAAACAAGGCCCGACCCTGCAAAATAAGCTGGGAACGGGAGAAAAAGGAAGGTAGAAAAACAGGTTTAATAGTCAATCTGCCATCCCCAATACTCAGTACAGGGTTTTGACCCAGACGCTCACCGGTCTAAAATCCTTTCGTAATTAATCAAGCAAGTAAAATGGTTTTGGTAAATGTAAACCAGAAAGGCCAAATTACAGAAATCTGTATCTTTCAATTATATTTTAATTTACTGATATATATGGAATTATATATAAATTAACTTTTGGTATTAATGCATGTTAATACATGATTGACTTCCAGTGAACCTCCCTTCTCCCACCCTTTGACAGAGTTATATTCCCAGTGCACATTAGTTGAGGACTAATTAGCTGTTAGTCTTTTATAAACCAGCAACAGGTGGATATCTGTAAGTAGAATTCACTTCACTGTGTTTCTTCTCTATTATATGCATTTTCAACGTTATTACTGATGTTTTAAGAAACAGGACCATAATGATACGATAACAGGCTAGGTATTGACGAAAAGCTCCAAGCTCGCTTGAACCATTCTTTGACTTCATCGGTGAGTCAGATTAATCAGCTCTGCATTATGCCATACATTGTTTACTTGATTTAGTCATAGTGAACAGTGTTTTCAACAATTTCATAACACAATCCTGTTGGTTTCTTATCCAGTTTTCTAATGGAATGCTGAAAACTGTAATACTTCTTGCTGAAAGCTTGCATTAACACTTCTGTTTCTGCAAAACATTGAGTGATTAATTAAAGCTGTGTGTCGTCCTTTGTGTCCTGTCCACCCCCACTATTGTTGCAGACACTGATCTTGAAACTGGGTTTACTGTTTGGTACGTAAGCCAAAGGATCAGGTCGGATCAGGTAGCTGTAGACAGAAAATAAAAATGAGAAAATTAATTGAAAAAAAGGACAAAGAATAAAACAGATTAGGAATGAAACGATTGAGAAAAATATTCAAGCAGGAAGAAAGCTATTAAATTGAAACTACTTGTGGTTTATATCATGTATAAGTTGAATATTGTTTAACATTTACAGTTCATACACAAACTAATTCCTGCGTTTATTAATAATGTACACCTCCTTGTTCATGATGCCTAATTATATGTAACAATTTAACTGAGATCTTCATTTGATCTGCGTTAAAATTAACCAAACTTTATGAGACTTTATTTTAGGAATATTATAACCCATGGTAATGAGAGTACAAGACTGATTTTAATTCCTTTCATTCATGTAAAAGTACGAACATGATGAAGTTATATCATGTTTAGCTCTTACGGTAAGCTCTTCATTAGATTCTGAAAAAATCCATAAAACCATTAATAAATTTGTTCAAGTCATTTTGCAATCATTTCTCAAAGCTCAAATAATTCAATTTCCGAAATTCTAGCATTTCAAAAGAAATTTTGTAATTCACTGCCTTAATTATTGCATTAAAAATTGTTCTGTGAATACCGAAATCTTAAACTGAACTCAGATGCCAATAAGGTTAGAGAAGGCAAATGTCTCAAGGTACACTGGAGTCGAGGATTGACAGGCAATACTGTAGTGGAAAGAGGTACATTCTGACAAGAAGAAAAAGAAAAATAGACAGAGAGTGTGAGAGGAGATTGGGAGATAGCATAAAAGGAAATCCAGTAATCTTTAATAGGCATAAAAATAATGAAAATAAAACATTAAATGAGCACTTTGCATTTGTCTTTACAAGAAAAAAAATGCTGCCAAAGTCGTAATGAATGAGATACTGGATGGACAAGATGAAAAAGCAGGTATTTGACAGGCTGACAGGCTAGAGTTCTTAAAATTGATAAGTTACTAGTTTCAAGTTGGATTCATCCAAGGATATTGAGAGAAGTAAGGTTGGAAATTACAGCGATCCTGACCATAACCTTCCAACATCCTCAGGTATGGGGATAATGACAGGAGGCCAGAGAATTGCAAATGTTACACCCTTGTTCAAAACAGGGTGCCAGGATAAACACAGTAACAACACACCAGCCTGTTTAAACCCCATGGTGAAAAATCATTTGGAAATTATGATCAACAAAATTATAGTCACATTGACAAATACTTTGACTAAGAAAGAAAGGTAGCATGGACTTGTTAAATGCAAATTGTATTTAATTAACTTCGTTGACATTTTTATGAGAGAGAGTTGATGTGGACTTCCAAAAGGCATTTGACAAAATGCCATATAATAGGCTTGCCAATAAAATTGAAGCCCATGGAATAGGTGCAGCAGGGCATATGGATATGAAGTTGGATGAGTTTCAAGAAACTGAGAATAGCAGTGAGAAGCATTTGGACTGGACATACGTATATAGTAGGATTTCCGAGCATTTGGCATTAGTGAGCTTTTTTTCAAAAACTGCCAATGACTGAGTTGGATGCATAAGGCACAGTTAAAAATTGGAGGTAACTTGGGAAACATTGGGCTAAATCTTCCCATTTTTAGACTGTGTGATTTCAGGGACTTTCCAGCATGTGTCCTGTTATTTGCACACCATGACTTTTCTCACGCAATCTTCCGCTGCTCACCTTATTAATTGTGCATCTGAACTCCACGGCGCCCATTTCGTTCAATCACACAACAACAGAGACAGACATGCTCGCCGCTTCAGAGAAATCCAGTCACTCATCCTGTGGGCATCCCATTTAAATCCCAGCCGCACACCACTTCAAATGCTACAAGTCACGAAATGGCCTTCACACAGTGGTGCTTGACCATTATCACAGAGGATATGTCTCAGCAAGAGAAGCTAGCAACTTGTTTTGCCATCGAGGGCTTTGGAGGTGCTGCTGGTGGACAGGATGGTGGAGAGGAGGCCCAAACCATCCTTAAACCTGGAGATCACCACCGGACTCAGCCTAAATCCCGTTTCTTGGATTGATTGAAAGCCCAGCAGTGTCGAAGGAAGCCAATAATCTTCTGCACTCCTTCAGGGTAAGTGGCGCCATTTTCTCTCTGCTTCCTCATACTTTAACTCTGCTCCTACACCATAATATCACCAAGGTTAATGGTCTATCACTTCCACTGTTGCACGCAGCGTCTCCATTCAATGGCTCTCACCCCTCTCACCTTCCTAAATTACAAACACTTGCTGCCCTTTCTGCTCATTCACTGAGGGTACCTCACCATCTTTCCTGCTCGTGCATCACCAGGAACTGCGCTTCCATCCACATTCATCTCAGTCAATCCTTCCACATTACAGGAGCGAATGTCTCATAACTGGGTAGAGAGGGCCAAGATGGATGGCAGACATTTGGTTCCTCACCCCCGCCATGAGCGGAAGATCCTTATGACAGCGGGCAAGGATCAGGACTGGTCATGCCCGGATGCCGAGATTCCCATGTCCGGACAACATCGAAAGTTTCATTGTGCTGCTCTCCCATCACCATCATTGTTAATGGCTCTTAACATTGCTCAAGCTTCTACCGCTATGACACAACTAGTGGCCTCTCTTCTCTTATGCAGACACCAGTGGCACCCCCACAACCTCTGTAAGTCCTCCAGTTCTTCCTCCATCTCCCAAGGAGGAAACCACACATCCCTTGCAGCATGCATTGGCAAGGCTGCCTCCTGCACCCTCCACCAGCTCAGATAGTGACACCTTGTTGGTGCAGTACCCACATCAGAAGCACAATCTGGTGAGCCACAGGTCACTAGCACTTGGAGGACTGCTGGAGAGCTGCTCATGCACTAGGCAGAAGGGAACCCCTTGGTGTCAGCCTATTACTAACTTTGTAAAAATGCACCGTCACACGAACAGCAGGCAGGTTTATCAGAGTCAGGCAGGAAACTGGATCAAACATTGGAGGAGTCCACTAGCGCCATTGGTGTTGTGCTGGTTCCACGATGCAGGTATCTGGCTGTCTCTGTGGACAGGTCAGCAGCTTCCCCTGAGAACTGGGTTGAGCAGAACTCTCAGTGGAAACGCACAGAGCTGCTGTCCATCACTTTAGTTCTGCATCAGGAGCAATGTGAGAGGACGACGAGGGACAGCAATCTTGGTCCAGGTGTTCCTGCCTCTCAAGAAAACAGGGGGTGCCAGTAGGCACCCAGACAGAGGAAGAACTACTTATAGAAGCTCCCCAGAAATTTTCTGTCAGGGCAATCCGAGGTGCCATCTCCTCCCTGCACGCAATCCCCAACCCTGCAGAACTTGCAGCTGAGGAGCAATGAGCGTAAATCTGGATAGGACACTCATGGTACAGCTAGTCCCTCTAACTATAAAAATCCTCATGTCATCAGCCCAAATCTTCCAGGCTGACAGTGTCCACTTCAGAGTAAGCCCCTTCCATGTTTACTTTGCTCTGCACATGGATGTGGTAGGAAGGCAAGGCAAAAACTTAGTGCTGACATCACATAGGTAGAATGGATGACAGACCATTGCAAAGACCTTTCCAAATATGTAGATATATATGCACTTTCAATCAGTGAATCAGATTGACTGTCATTTTTATTGTAGGATGTGACTAAGTGGTTACCATGTCAAAGTTAAATAACCTTTTTACACAATCCAAAAAGGATAGAAGTTATAATGCCGAGGCATTTCTCATCTCTGGGAAGCATCCTGGGTAGCAGCAGATGGGATGGATCCATCAATCCTTGCGTTCATGAGTGCAATCAAAACCTTGCACTTCAATGAGAGCACCGAGGCCAAAGGTAATTGGAATGCCTTGTGATATGGTTTCTCTCATTCATGTTCAACACTTATGGCCAACTTGTGGGTGTGACAGAGCTATCATTCATGAGTCCGCACTTTTCTAGGGGGAAAGGTTCATTCTATCTATGTGTCTCACAAGGGAATGCACGCTCATTCAAGGATGAGACGGACCAGCCTTCTGGCACATGTTTCCACAGCTCCTTGGCTGCCTTACCGCAGCCCTCAGACTGGTTGCTCTTAACCTGCAGGACTGACTGTTCACCGGACTGCAAGGGCATGGATCCCTGAACACTGGTTGATGAAGCATCTGACTGACCATGGTCAACCCTATGGACTTAGGGTGGACAAGCCCCTTGATCGAGTGTTGCAGCACCCCTGTATTTCACTAAGGACTGCTCCCCTTTGACTTTCAGACATGGCCATTCGGTTGAAGAATCCAGAGTGTTTTTGCCATGTAAGCTGCCAGCACATGCTGTAGGTGTGACGTTCAAGTAGCACAGTGCCGTAGAGCAGCATGATCACCCCTTTGAATGACAACCATGGTGAACTGCCTGCCTTTCTGCCTGGTACAAAAGGCAACGCAAACCAGAGATACTGTGGGCGTCCGAGTGCGCAAAGTGAGTGAGTGCTAAGAAAGTAAACTAAGAGCTGTGAGGTGCATCCTATGCGGACTAATGAGATAGGTATTGGTCCATGTGAGGTGAGTAATTTGGCAGAAGCAGTGCAATGTAAGAAGTCTGTGACTTCCAAAGTGCCGTGGTGAATTGCTGAAGTGCATGAGGAGTTAGTCTAAGATCAGCCAGGATGATCTGTGTTGTACCGATGCTGACCTCCGTTGGGGAAGGTAGAGTAGATTGCCATCCATAGAGCATCCAATGAGATACTGGTGAACGGATGTGAATGTGGGATCCTGGAAAAGCAAGTGGTGAGCTGTATTACCAAGCAGGTGCTAATTGCTTTGACTCTGATGTTGGGAATTGGCACACTCTAGTTTCTTAGTAGTGGACAGCAGGATTGCAAGCTGCATATAATTGAGATGAACTAAGTGAACCTCGAGATGCAAATGAGTGGAGATAAGGTGGTCGCTGCTATTAGAGAAATTTAGAATTCACCGTTGAAACCTTAAAGGGGAAAAACAAAACTTGTCTTCTTGATGTTGAGAATCAGGTTTTTCCATTCTCATCATATTTTTCCATCTCTCACCATTGATCTAGCTGCTCAAAGGCTGAGGAAATTTTGCCCATTTTAAACTGTGAGGAGGATAATATTGGACTTCAAGAGGATATGGACAAGCTTGGAGACGGGACCTAGAGGTGGTGGATAAAACTTAACACAGAAAAATGTAAAGTGATAGGAAGACCAAGCAGAGGTAATATCAACCGAAGGATGTGCAGGAAGAGAGCTAGTGTCTTGCATAAGTGCACAAGTTGTTGAAGGTGGCAGGACAACATTGAGAAAGTGGTCAAAAATGCATGTAGGCCTTACAATTAAAGACCTAGAGTACAAAAGCCATGAAATTATGATGGCTCTTTAGAAAGCAATGGTTTACCCTCACCTGCAACGTTACGTCAAATGTTTGGCACCAACATTAGGAGGAATGAGAAGGTTTTAGAGAGCGTGAAGGAAAGAGTTGGGGGCTTCAAGGATTAAGGACTCCAATTATGTGGATACATTGAAAAATATGGAGTTGTTCTGAAGGGAAAGTTGAGAGGAGATTTGATACAGATAGGGAGGTGACGGTGTAGTGGCAATATCATTGAATTTGCAATCCAGAACCCACATTGTGTTCTGGGGGTTGAATTCTGCCATGGCAGATAGTAAAATTTGAAATCAACAAAAATTTGTAATAAAAAGCCTGCCTAATAATGACCATGCACTACATTTGATTGTTATAAAAATGCATCTGGTTCACTGCTGTCCTCTAGAGAATGAAATCTGCCATTATTACCTGATTTGGCCTCCTTGTGACCCCAGATCCACAGTGATGTAGTTAACTCTTAACTGCTTTCTGGGCAATCAGGGATAGGTAATAAATATTAGCCTAGCCAGAGGTGCCATAAACAAACTTTTAAAAAATCATGATGGATCTGGACAGAATAGATGGGAAGGAACTTTGCTCATTGGTGGAAGGGTCAAGAACCAGAAGTACAAAGATTTAAGGTGGACATGGGGAAGAACCTTTTGGTGCAGTAAGTGGTTAGAATGTGGAATGCACTGCCTGAGAGTGTAGTGGAGGCAGGTTCAATTTTAAGTTTCAAAGAGAATTTGATCTTAAAGGAAAACGAAATGCAGGGGTGGGGTTGATTGGGCAAGGTGAGACGGATGAGTGAAATAACACTGGAACCTGCACAGAACTGATAATTCAAGTAATGCCCTTCTCTGTTGTAAACATTCTATGATTCCAGAAGAGTTGAACTTTCAAACTATTGTGTGTTGGATGATTTGTCTGGAGTGTGAACTGGACCAGACAGTAAATCAGAATTTGTCATCTGGCATTGGAACATAAATTCTCCAAATTGCTTTTAACTTTCCATTCAGAGTTGATTGGCTGGAAACTGTTGGTATACCATCTAATATCCTAAAACAAAATAAATGACTTACTAAATAAACAACTTACACAACATCATTCAGTTCCAGTCTCATATCTGGTGACGGATTGATGAGGATATATGACAGAGTGTTCTGGTGGTCATTCATTTCATCTGAAATAGAGTAAGGACACTGTGAGTGACCTGTGCTGGTCAAGGAAAGCAATTCCCCAGCAACCTTACCTGCATACTATATCCATTCTCCTCTGCCATCTAGACAGTAAAAAGGAGAAGAGATAAAATTTGTGGGAATATTATTACCTCCAAATTCCCCTCTGAGTCAAACAAACATCCTGAACATGGCACATATTATTGTCTTTCATTGTCACTGGGAAATTATATAGAAATTCTTTACCTATCTACATCATCACAAGGTTCAAAAGAATCAAATGATTCAAAGAGAAACATCAACGTACATTAAATGTAGCCTTACGAACACTGTGCCTATCGCAATAACAGAAAAGACAATAGCAAGTTGTTCCCGAGGTGTTTTCTTTTAAGAGTAAACATACATCACTATGGGAAACTTCAAAAATAATTTAACATATTTCTTAGCTGTTACACATTGAGAAATGGGAAAAACAGATTAAAAATACTTCACTTTTAAAAAAATTAATGTGTAACAGCTAAAGATTTTTTATATAAGAGGAACATTTTATTTTCTTAAAGTTAAAATAAATCCGGCAGAAATCAGATTATATGTTATAAATGGAGACATTGAGGTATTCATTACTGAACTACATCACAAAATCATTCATGCTTGTGGTACAGCAACCTTTCAAGTGCCAAAATAAGTTTAGAATTGAAAGTTTGTGTTCTATTACCCAGATAAAAAGGCTATGTAGAGTGGAATATGTTGTCATAACCACTGCAATTCATTATGAAAGTTACCATCTTCTGGGCTATCTGTGGTATCCCAATCTATTGACAACAAAATTTGTTGCAACCTTTCCTTCGACCTTTCCTACTGCTTTGTGTTATTTAATACATTCGCAAGCAATTCCCTAAATCCCACTTTAATACATTCCCAGCATCCTCTTCAGCAAAGGTCAAGCTATTATCTGCCTCTGAGCAAAGAATCTTCTGAATGAAAGGCACCCTGCTGTAGGCCCTCAGCAAAAAATATGCATGAACCGTGTGAACAATGCTGCTCCTCTGCTGTATCTGCAACATAAGCTTTGTTACCTCAATAAAACCAGCACATTCCTTCTGAGGAATTAATCTTGGTGTTCAGATGAAAGTGATACAGGTTGTTCTACTTCAAAGTACATCACATAAAAGCAAGTTAAATTCATACAAAGATTTCATGTTTTAATGTCGACAGGATTTCATTTCTGTTATGAGAATGCTGGACATTTTACAAACACATTGTTAACCTGCTGCAGTACAACACAGTAACTGTAAAACATCTCGGCACTTCCTAAGGTCATGAAAGGTCATACATAAATTTATATGCTTTCCTTTGCTTTGTTTTATTAGTTGGTACTATTTTTATGAGGTACAATTAAACATATGTCATCGGATATACAGATGCAATAATTAAGGAGATAAAGTCAATGCAAAGGTTACATTAAAATTGATAGAAAAAGTGCGCAAAACTGAGTGAAATAAACAATCATTTTCAAATGCTGGGCAACAGTCTAACCTAGGACAAATAAGGGGCCAAATTAGTTTTGGAGGCTAACACAAAATTGGCAATACTGAATTGTCATTTTACAATTGCCCGAAATTTCTTTTCCATTGACATCAATGTCAAGAATCTGTCTTTAGGAGTCTGAAGCTTCATCCCTGAAATTCACTGTGAATTCTGAAATGCAGTTCTTTGTCAGTGATACATTACTGGTTTTTATACAGTTTTTGCAGAAATAATGTGGTTTGGAGAGAGCGTACCTCTATCTTCCTGATGGTCCAGGATGCATATTTCATGGAACACTCCACAATGTTTGCTTTGGTTTATATTTGAAATTGTTTCACATTGTTACTATGTTTTAGTGTGAATCATGAGACGTGCCAAGACCCCTTTTGAAACAGAAAAACATGGAAAATAGGTGGAGTAGGCCATTTGGCCCATCGAGCCTGCTCTGCCAATCAATATAATTATGGCTGATCATCCTACTCAATATTCTGTTCACGCCTATACAACATACCCTTTGAACCCTTTAGCCATTGGAACTACAGCTAGCATCACAAACACTTTCTGTGGCGGAGAATTCCACAGGCTCTGTGGACGAAGAAATTTCTCCTCATCTCAGTGCTAAATGACCTACCCCATATCCTTAGACTGTGGCCCCTGGTTCCAAACTCCCCAATCTTTGGGAATATCCTTCTTGTGTTTACCAGATCCAGGCTGCATTCAGACTATAACAAGTGTGTCAGACTCACCATTACTATCTGTTGTGTAAGTACCCTATGATTCTCTTGTGCAATGCAAGGCACTTTCTTCAGTAAGCCTCCAATTGTTCAGTAAGACGTACTTCTGTAGTATAAATTCAACGTCCTGACCATTCAATATCTGCATCTGCATTATTGTATGCTCAAATGCTAGCCTTATTAAATTTTAACTTTATGTTTGTTTGGCACAATTTTTTGCACTCTGTAGTCTGGATTTTATTCGAACATTGTTCCTCAACAGCAATCATCATTTGTTACGCAGTTTAGGCATGCAGCTGGATAATGAGGTTATTGCAATTAATGTCATCACACCATCCTTTCGGAATTAGTCAACTGCTTTTCATCTTCTGAGGACCAGCCTTGAAGATCCGCAACATAAAGTGTTTATAAATAAATTGCAATGTGAGCCTTTTAGTAATGAGCAAATAATCCTGAAATGCAAGATAATTTAAAAGTCTGAAAATACAAAAAAAAGCAACACTGTAATTTTTAACAAAAATAATGTGGCAGAGGGTGTCACTCAGTTGCTGAATGCAGTTCATGCTAGTCATCTTTCAGACTTTATGACCAGCTGATGGGGATAGGGAGCAAATAGGCTCTCGTCTTTTTTTAAAACCCTCTTGGTTGGTTTAAATGATTTTTTTTAGCATGCAGTTATCATACATCAATTTAAACTTAATTTACCAGATCCAAATGAGGGAGCCAATTCCAAGGTACCTTGAAAGGATATCCTTGAGTGAAATAAAGACGTTTTATTACATATTATCATGAAAAAGTAATAAGAATGCAATATCTGACATACAAACACATTGGGCCATTGGAAAATGACGCGAGAGAAGTAGTAATAGGGAACAAAGAAATGGCTGGGGAATTGATTAAAGACTGCATCAGTCTTCACAGTGGAAGAGCAATATCCCAAAAATTCAAAAGAATCTGGGGGAGTACAGGCGAGTATGGTGGCCATCAACAAGGATAAGGTGCTAGAAAAACTGAAAGGTCTGAAGGTTGATAAATCACCAGGACCAGATGGACTACACCCCAGTGTTCTGAAGGAGATAGCTGAAGAGACAGTGGAGGCGTTAGTGGTGATCTTTCAGGAATCGCTACAGTCAGGGAGAGTCCCACAGGACTGGAAAATCGCTAACGTGACACCCCTGATTAAGAAGGGAGTAAGACAAAAGATGGGAAATTACAGGCCGATTAGCCTTACCTCAGGCTTTGGAAAGATTTTGAGTCCACTGTGAAGGACGAGATTTCTGAATACTTGGAAGTGTATGGTAAAATTGGGTAAAGTCAGCACAGATTCATCTTTGAGGAAGTAACAAGCAGATTAGACTAAGGAGAGCCAATGGATGTAATCTACCTGGACTTCAAGCAGGCCTTTGACAAGGTGCCACACAGGAGACTGCAGAGTAAGATAAGGGCCCATGGTGTTAGAGGCAAGGTGCTAGCATGGATAGAAGATTGGCTGTCTGGCAGAAAGCAAAGAGTGAGGTTAAAAGGTCTTTCTCAGAATGGCAGCCAGTGACTAGTGGTATTCCACAAGGGTCAGTGTCGGAACCACAATTTTTCACTTTTAAATTAATGATCTTGATGAAGGAACTGAGGGTAGTCTGGCTAGGTTTGCAGATGATATAATAATAGGTAGAGGGGCATGTAGTATTGAGGAGGCAGGAAGCTGCAGAAGGATTTAGACAGGTTAGGAGAGTGGGCAAAGAAGTGACAGATGGAATACAACGTGGGAAAGTGTGAGGTCATGAACTTTGGGAGGACGAATAAAGGCACAGACTATGTTCTAAACAGGGAAAAAATTCAGAAGTCTGAAGCGCAAAGGGACTTGGGAGTTCTTATCCAGGATTCTCTTCAGGTAGACTTGCAGGTTGAGTCAGTAGTTAGGAAGGCAAATAGAATGTTGGTACTTATACCAAGAGGACGAGAATATAAAAGCAGGGATGTACTTCTGAGGCTTTATAAAGCTCTGATCAGACCATATTCAGAGTATTGTGAGCCAGTTCGGGCCACATACTTCAGGAAGAATGTACTGGCCCTGGAGCAGGTCTAGAGGAGGTTCACGAGAATGGTCCCAGGAATGAAAGGCTTAACATATGAAGAATGTTTGAAGATGCTGGGTCTATATTCGATGGAGTTTAGAAGGATGAGGGAGGATCGAATTGAAATTTACAGAATACTGAATGGCCTGGAAGTGGGTGGACAGTGGGAAGATGTTTCCATTGGTAGGAGAGACTAAGACCCGAGGGCACAGTCTTACAGTAAAGGGAAGACCTTGTAAAATGGAGATAAGGAGAAACTTCTTCAGCCAGAGAGTGGTGAATCTATGGAATTCATTGCCACAGAAAACTGCGGAGGCTGGGTCATTGAGTATATTTAGGACAGAGATAGATAGGTTCTTGATTATCAAGGGGATAAAGGGTTACGTGGGAGAAAGGGGTTGAGAAACGTATCAGCCATACTGAATGGCAGAGCAGACTCAACGGGCCGAATGGCCTAATTTCTGCTCCTATGTCTTATGGTCTTATGGTATGGTACTGAGTTTAAAAAGGAGAATGGAAGGTGTCTCGTCCAAACAAGAAGATAAAAGCATATGCAGTTTAAAGTTCTTAGAAGTTGTGAAGTGTGAGATTGAAATCTGAGTGCGTAATTCCACATCAAACAAATGTTCACCTGCACATCTGCTAATGTGGTATACTGTATCGGCTGTTCCC